GTGTTCGAAATAGCAAGCTATTGTGCCTGTAACAACAACTATTGTGTCGGTAATAGCAACCATTGGTCTGCTAATACCAAACCCATTTTTTTTCTGGAAATAGCAAGCTATTGTATCTGGTAATGAAGCTATTTTGTTTGGGAATAGCCTTTCGTGTCTGGTAAAGCAAACATTGTGTCGGTAAAAGCAAAAAATTTTTTTCAGGTAATGCAAGCTATTTTGCCGGTTTAAAAGAACTATTGTTCTGGTAATAGCAACCCCCCCCCTTGTGTTGGGAACCAAGCTATTGTGTTCGAATCAAGATTGTTTGGTAAACAACCCCATTGTGTTGGTAACAGCAAGTATTTTGTCTCGAAAAAGCAAGCTATTTTTGTTGCTAATAGAAACCTATTGTGTCGGAAATACAAGCTATTGTGTATTGTAATAGTAACTAATTTGTCAGGTAATAGCAAGCTTTGTGTTAGGAACAGCAAGCTATTGTGTCTGGTAATAGAAGCTATTGTGTCAGGTAAAGCAAGCTATTGTGGCTGGTAAAAGAAACTATTGTCTCAAATAGCAAGCTATTTGGTCTGTAATAAAGTACTGTGCGGTAAAAGCAAGCTATTTTGTTGGGGATGCAAGCTATTTGCTCGAAATAGCAAGCAATTTTGCCCGGAACAACAAGCTATTGTGTCGTAATACCAACCCATTTTTCTGGAAATAGCAAAACATTATATCTGGTAAAACAAGTATTGTGTATGGTAATAGTAAGCTATTTGTCTGGTTTAGCAAATTTATTCTGGTTAAAACAAGCTATTTTGTCGGTAATAGTAACCTTTTTTGTCTGGTAATAGCAACATTGTTCTGGGGAAGAAACCCATTGTGTCTGGAAATACAAAATATTATTAGTAATAGCAAGCTATTTTGCTGGTAAAGCAAACAAAGTGTCTGGTAATAGAAAGCTATTGTGTCTGGTAATAGCAACCTATTGTGTCTGGTAATAACAACCTTTTGTGTCTGGTAATAGCAAGCTATTTTGTCTGGTAATAGCAAGCTATTGTGTCTGGTAATATCAAGCTATTGTGTCTGGTAATAGCAACCTATTGTGTCTGGAAACAGCAAGCTATTGTGTCTGGTAATAGCAACCTATTGTGTCTGGAAATAGCAAGCTATTGTGTCTGGTATTACTAAGCTATTTTGTGTGGTATTAGCAAGCTATTGTGTCTGGTAATAGGAACCTATTGTGTCTGGAAATAGCAAGCTATTGTGTCTGGTATTAGCAAGCTATTTTGTGTGGTATTAACAGGCTATTGTGTCTGGTAATAGGAACCTATTGTGTCTGGTAATAGAACCTATTGTGTCTGGAAATAGCAAGCTATTGTGTCTGGTAATAGTAAGCTCTTGGTTATGGTAATCGCAAGTTGTGGTGTCTGGTAATAGCAAACTAGTGTTTCTGGTAATAGCAAACTAGTATCTTTGGTAATAACAAGCTATTGTGTCTAGTAATAGTAAGCTATTGTCCCTGCTAATAGGAAGCTATTTGTCTGGTAATAGCAAACTATTATGTCTGGTAATAACAACTTATTGCGTCTCGTAATAGCAAGCTATTATTTTTTGTAATTGCAAGCTATTGTGTCTCGTAATAACAAGCTTTTGTTTCTTGTAATAGCAAGTTATTGTGTCTAGTAATAGCAAACTTCTGTTTCTGGTAACAGTAAGCTATTGTGTCCGTTAATAATAAACTGTTGTCTGGTGATAGCAAGCTATTATGCCTGGTATAAACAAGCTATTGTGTCTCGTAATAGCAATCTTTTATTTTTGGTAATGACAAGATATTGTTTCTGCTATCAGCTGTTTTGTCAGATAATAGCAAGCTATTGCATCATTTAATTGCAAGATACTGACTCTGTATTAGCACGGTGTCGTTCCTGCTAATAGCAAGCTATTGTGTCTGATAATAGTAAGCTATCGTCACTGCTAATAGCAAGCTATTGTGTCTGGTAACAGCAAGCTATTATGTCTGGTAATAGGAATTTACTGCGTCTCGTAATAACAAGCTATTGTTCGTCGTAATAACAAGCTATTGTTTATTGTGACCTCAAGCTATTTCCTGGTAATAACAACCTAGTGTCTGGTTATAGGAAGCTATTGTGCCTGTTAATAGCAAGCTGTTTTCGCTGGTAATAGCACACTATTGTGTTTTGTAAAAGCAAGCTATTGTGTCTGGTAATAGCAAGTTATTGTCTAATAACAGAAAGCTATTGTTTGCTAATATTATGCTATTGTCTGGTAATAGCAAGCCTTTGTGTCCGGTAATAGAAAGTTGTTGTATGGTAATAGCAGGCTACTGAGTCTAGTAATAGCAAGCTTTTGTCTAATAATAGAAATCTATTGTCTGGTAATAGCAAACTGTTGTCTGGTAATAGCAAGCTGTAAACTGGTAATATGAAGCTATTGTTTAGTAATAGCAAGCTGTAATCTGGTAAAGTGATAATAGCACTGGTAATAGCAAGCAATTGTCTGATAATAGGAAGGTGTAGCCTGGTAATAGCACTGGTAATAGCAAGCCATTGTCTGGTAATAGCAATTATTGTATCTCGCAATAGTAAGCTATTGTGTATGTTAATAGCAGATTGTTGTTATCTAGTAAAAGCAATCTGTTGTGTCTGGTAATAGCAAGCTGTTGTCTGGTAATAGCAAGCTGTTGTCTGGTAATAGCAAGTTGTTGTCTGTAATAGCAAGTTGTTGTTTGGTAATAGCAAGTTGTTGTTTGGTAATAGCAAGTTGTTTGGTAATAGCAAGTTGTTGTCTGGTAATAGCAAGTTGTTGCCTGGTAATAGCAAGTTGTTGTTTGGTAATAGCAAGTTGTTGTCTGGTGATAGCAAGTTGTTGTCTGGTAATAGCAAGTTGTTGTCTGGTAATAGCAAGTTGTTGTTTGGTAATAGCAAGTTGTTGTCTGGTAATAGCAAGTTGTTGCCTGGTAATAGCAAGTTGTTGTTTGGTAATAGCAAGTTGTTGTCTGGTAATAGCAAGTTGTTGTCTGGTAATAGCAAGTTGTTGTCTGGTAATAGCAAGTTGTTGTTTGGTAATAGCAAGTTGTTGTCTGGTAATAGCAAGTTGTTGTCTGGTAATAGCAAGTTGTTGTTTGGTAATAGCAAGTTGTTGTCTGGTAATAGCAAGTTGTTGTCTGGTAATAGCAAGTTGTTGTTTGGTAATAGCAAGTTGTTGTTTGGTAATAGCAAGTTGTTGTTTGTTAATAGCAAGTTGTTGTCTGGTAATAGCAAGTTGTTGCCTGGTAATAGCAAGTTGTTGTTTGGTAATAACAAGTTGTTGTATGGTAATAGCAAGTTGTTGTTTGGTAATAGCAAGTTGTTGTCTGGTAATAGCAAGTTGTTGTTTGGTAATAGCAAGTTGTTGTCTGGTAAAAGCAAGTTGTTGTTTGGTAATAGCAAGTTGTTGTCTTGTAATAGCAAGTTGTTGTTTGGTAATAGCAAGTTGTTGTCTGGTAATAGCAAGTTGTTGCCTGGTAATAGCAAGTTCTTGTTTGGTAATAGCAAGTTGTTGTCTGGTAATAGCAAGTTGTTGTTTGGTAATAGCAAGTTGTCTGGTAATAGCAAGTTGTTGCCTGGTAATAGCAAGTTGTTGTCTGGTAATAGCAAGTTGTTGTCTGGTAATAGCAAGTTGTTGTCTGGTAATAGCAAGTTGTTGTCAGGTAATAGCAAGTTGTTGTCTGGTAATAGCAAGTTGTTGCTGGTAATAGCAAGTTGTTGTCTGGTAATAGCAAGTTGTTGTCTGGTAATAGCAGCTGTCTGGTAATAGCAAGTTGTTGTCTGGTAATAGCAAGTTGTTGTCTGGTAATAGCAAGTTGCTGTCTGGTAATAGCAAGTTGTTGTCTGGTAATAGCAAGTTGTTGCCTGGAAATAGCAAGTTGTTGCCTGGTAATAGCAAGTTGTTGTCTGGTAATAGCAAGTTGTTGTCTGGTAATAGCAAGTTGTTGTCTGGTAATAGCAAGTTGTTGTCTGGTAATAGCAAGTTGCTGTCTGGTAATAGCAAGTTGTTGTCTGGTAATAGCAAGTTGCTGTCTGGTAATAGCAAATTGTTGTCTGGTAATAGCAAGTTGTTGTCTGGTAATAGCAAGTTGCCTGGTAATAGCAAGTTGTTGTCTGGTAATAGCAAGTTGTTGTCTGGTAATAGCAAGTTGCTGTCTGGTAATAGCAAGTTGTTGTCTGGTAATAGCAAGTTGTTATCTGGTAATAGCAAGTTGTTGTCTGGTAATAGCAAGTTGTTGCCTGGAAATAGCAAGTTTTTGCCTGGAAATAGCAAGTTGTTGTCTGGTAATAGCAAGTTGTTGTCTGGTAATAGCAAGTTGTTGTCTGGTAATAGCAAGTTGCTGTTTGGTAATAGCAAGTTGTTGTCTGGTAATAGCAAGTTGTTGTCTGGTAATAGCAAGTTGTTGTCTGGTAATAGCAAGTTGTTGCCTGGTAATAGCAAGTTGTTGTCTGGTAATAGCAAGTTGTTGCCTGGTAATAGCAAGCTGTTGCCTGGTAATAGCAAGTTGCTGTCTGGTAATAGCAAGCTGTTGCCTGGTAATAGCAAGTTGTTGTTTGGTAATAGCAAGTTGTTGTCTGGTAATAGCAAGTTGTTGTCTGGTAATAGCAAGTTGTTGTCTGGTAATAGCAAGTTGTTATCTGGTAATAGCAAGTTGTTGCCTGGAAATAGCAAGTTGTTGTCTCTGGTAATAGCAAGTTGTTGTCTGGTAATAGCAAGCTGTTGCCTGGTAATAGCAAGTTGCTGTCTGGTAGTAGCAAGCTGTTGCCTGGTAATAGCAAGTTGTTGTCTGGTAATAGGAAGTTGCTGTCTCTGGTAATAGCAAGTTGTTGTCTGGTAATAGCAAGTTGTTGTCTGGTAATAGCAAGTTGTTGCCTGGAAATAGCAAGTTGTTGTCTGGTAATAGCAAGTTGTTGCCTGGAAATAGCAAGTTGTTGTCTGGTAATAGCAAGTTGTTGTCTGGTAATAGCAAGTTGTTGTCTGGTAATAGCAAGTTGTTGCCTGGAAATAGCAAGTTGTTGTCTGGGAATAGCAAGTTGTTGTCTGGTAATAGCAAGTTGCTGTCTCTGGTAATGTCTTGACGATCATCGGTCGATCTCACCTCCTTCAACTGAAAAACAAATATTACAGGAATAAGAACAACAGAGAAACACACAGAAAGAGAAATGAATGTTGAATGTATACAGAAGTTACACATCGCATGAGAACGATGTTTAAATGTTACAGGAGAGCAGCAGTATACTGGTATGTATGCTGCTGCTGACCTATACATGATACCCGGAGGCTACGACCTTACTGGAAATATATTCTCATGATTCCTGACTAAAAAAATATATCACCACTGAGGAAAAATAAACGATTAGCAGTCGTGCCAGCTTACACATTTTTTACTTTCATGGTCACACGAGGACAAGCTACTACCTCCTGCACCTACTGCCAGAGTGCAAAACGTTTAATAACTTTCAATTTTAAGCTTATGTGAGTAAACAGCAGTAGCTGACTCTGTTCACCAGACGGAAGCTGACTCTGCTCATCAGAGAAGCTGTTCATCAGACAGTAGCTGACTCTGTTCATCAGAGTTGAATCCAGAAATTCAGTCAATTAGTTTGACGGTGTATATGGGTGATGTAGCCTTAGATATTGTAAAGGCTTTCCCACCATACCCTTGATACCTTAACCCACATCAAGAAGGTGCCTAGATACTTTAAATTGCATCAGGAAGGCACCTTGATACCTTAACCTGCATCAGGAAGGCACTTTGATACTTTAATCTGCATCAAGAAAGTGCCTTGATACATTAATCTGCATCAAGAAAGTGCCTTGATACCTTAACTTGCATCAAGGAAGTGCCTTGATACCGACAAGGGTGCAGAATTGGTCGGAATTTCCTTCAACTCTTAAAACGACACGAGGCCTGGTCACAGACCGGGCCGCGGGGGCGTTGACCCCCGGAACTCTCTCCAGGTAAACTCCAGGTAAACACGACCCGTACCGCTCACCATGGACGCAACAATAACAACCCAGGGGCTATATGATCCCCTACGGATTTAGCGTGTCTCCAAGGATTCTCTGACAGCAATATTAACTGCCTGAAGTTCTCCAGTCGTCTAGTAACTCGCAGCAGATTAGTTCTTCTCAACGAGGCTTATAATGAACATTAAAATGGTATAAAATACCGACAGGTTGTTAAGTAAGACACATATGCAACAGTTAGGTATCTTTATTTCGAAACGTTTCGCCTACACAGTAGGCTTCTTCAGTCGAGTACAGAAAAGTTGATAGAAGCAGAAGATACTTGAAGACGATGTAATCAGTCCATCACCCTTAAAGTTTTGAGGTGGACAGTCCCTCAGTCTGGAGAAGAGCATTGTTCCGTTGTCTTCTCCAGACTGAGGGACTGTCCACCTCAAAACTTTAAGGGTGATGGACTGATTACATCGTCTTCAAGTATCTTCTGCTTCTATCAACTTTTCTGTACTCGACTGAAGAAGCCTACTGTGTAGGCGAAACGTTTCGAAATAAAGATACCTAACTGTTGCATATGTGTCTTACCTAACAACGAGGCTTATAATGTTCATCTCATTGTTCAGAAACCTAACATTTGTGTTCTGCACCCTGGGTTGGTCAAATACTTTCACATCTAACATAACTGGTTCAAAACTTACATAACTTGTTCAAAACTAACATAAATGGTTCACAACTAACATAAATGCTTTACAAATAACATAACTGGTTCACAAATAACATAACTGGTTCACAAATAACATAACTGGTTCACAACTAACATTTATGTTTCACAACTAACATAATTGGTTAAGAACTAACATAAATGGTTCAGAACTAACATAAATGGTTCAAAACTAACTTAGTTGGTTCACAACTAACATAACTGGTTCACAACTAACATAACTGGTTCACGATTAACGAACAGTTTAGAGTGTAAACTTGTGACAACGTCCGGGCTCCTTCCTGGACCATAATCACATCACAGAACGACAAGGTCACTAAAGTTTGCGAAATATGGAGGGACAGTGAGCTGTTCCAGCCACGGGGTTGTGGTTCTAGTCACGTGGTTGTGGTTGTGGTTCCAGCCACGGGGTTGTGGTTGAGGTTCCAGCCACGGGGTTGTGGTTGAGGTTCCAGCCACGGGGATGTGGTTGAGGTTCCAGCCACGGGGTTGTGGTTGAGGTTCCAGCCACGGGGTTGTGGTTGAGGTTCCAGCCACGGGGTTGTGGTTGAGGTTCCAGCCACGGGGTTGTGGTTGAGGTTCTAATCACGGGGTTGTGGTTGAGGTTCCAGCCACGGGGTTGTGGTTGAGATTCTAGCCACGGGGTTGTGGTTGAGGTTCTAGCCACGGGGTTGTGGTTGAGGTTCTAGCCACGGGGTTGTGGTTGAGGTTCTAGCCACGGGGTTGTGGTTGAGGTTCCAGCCACGGGGTTGTGGTTGAGGTTCTAGCCACGGGGTTGTGGTTGAGGGTCCAGCCACGGGGTTGTGGTTGAGGTTCTAGCCACGGGGTTGTGGTTGAGGTTCTAGCCACGGGGTTGTGGTTGAGGTTCTAGCCACGGGGTTGTGATTGAGGTTCCAGCAACGGGGTTGTGGTTGAAGTTCCGGCCACGGGTTGAGGTTGAGGTTCCAGCCACGAGGTTGTGGTTGAGGTTCTAGCCACGGGGTTGTGGTTGAGGTTCCAGCCACAGGGTTGTGGTTGAGGCTCCAGCCACGGGGTTGTGGTTGAGGTTCCAGCCACGGGGTTGTGGTTGAGGTTCCAGCCACGGGGTTGTGGTTGAGGTTCCAGCCACGGGGTTGTGGTTGAGGTTCCAGCCACGGGGTTGTGGTTGAGGTTCTAGCTACGGTGTTGTGGTTGAGGTTCTAGCCACGGGGTTGTGGTTGAGGTTCCAGCCACGGGGTTGTGGTTGAGGTTCCAGCCACGGGTTGTGGTTGAGGTTCTAGCCACGGTGTTGTGGTTGAGGTTCTAGCCACGGGGTTGTGGTTGAGATTCCAGCCACGGGTTGTGGTTGAGGTTCTAGCCACGGGGTTGTGGTTGAGGTTCCAGCCACGGGTTGTGGTTGAGGTTCCGGCCACGGGGTTGAGGTTGAGGTTCCAGCCACGAGGTTGTGGTTGAGGTTCCAGCCACGGGGTTGTGGTTGAGGTTCCAGCCACAGGGTTGTGGTTGAGGCTCCAGCCACGGGGTTGTGGTTGAGGTTCCAGCCACGGGGATGTGGTTGAGGTTCCAGCCACGGGGTTGTGGTTGAGGTTCCAGCCACGGGGTTGTGGTTGAGATTCCAGCCACGGGGTTGTGGTTGAGGTTCCAGCCACGGGGTTGTGGTTGAGGTTCTAGTCACGGTGTTGTGGTTGAGGTTCTAGCCACGGGGTTGTGGTTGAGGTTCCAGCCACGGGGTTGTGGTTGAGGTTCCAGCCACGGGGTTGTGGTTGAGGTTCTAGCCACGGTGTTGTGGTTGAGGTTCTAGCCACGGGGTTGTGGTTGAGGGTCCAGCCACGGGGTTGTGGTTGAGGTTCTAGCCACGGGGTTGTGGTTGAGGTTCTAGCCACGGGGTTGTGGTTGAGGTTCTAGCCACGGGGTTGTGATTGAGGTTCCAGCAACGGGGTTGTGGTTGAAGTTCCGGCCACGGGGTTGAGGTTGAGGTTCCAGCCACGAGGTTGTGGTTGAGGTTCTAGCCACGGGGTTGTGGTTGAGGTTCCAGCCACAGGGTTGTGGTTGAGGCTCCAGCCACGGGGTTGTGGTTGAGGTTCCAGCCACGGGGTTGTGGTTGAGGTTCCAGCCACGGGGTTGTGGTTGAGGTTCCAGCCACGGGGTTGTGGTTGAGGTTCCAGCCACGGGGTTGTGGTTGAGGTTCTAGCTACGGTGTTGTGGTTGAGGTTCTAGCCACGGGGTTGTGGTTGAGGTTCCAGCCACGGGGTTGTGGTTGAGGTTCCAGCCACGGGGTTGTGGTTGAGGTTCTAGCCACGGTGTTGTGGTTGAGGTTCTAGCCACGGGGTTGTGGTTGAGATTCCAGCCACGGGGTTGTGGTTGAGGTTCTAGCCACGGGGTTGTGGTTGAGGTTCCAGCCACGGGGTTGTGGTTGAGGTTCCGGCCACGGGGTTGAGGTTGAGGTTCCAGCCACGAGGTTGTGGTTGAGGTTCCAGCCACGGGGTTGTGGTTGAGGTTCCAGCCACAGGGTTGTGGTTGAGGCTCCAGCCACGGGGTTGTGGTTGAGGTTCCAGCCACGGGGATGTGGTTGAGGTTCCAGCCACGGGGTTGTGGTTGAGGTTCCAGCCACGGGGTTGTGGTTGATATTCCAGCCACGGGGTTGTGGTTGAGGTTCCAGCCACGGGGTTGTGGTTGAGGTTCTAGTCACGGTGTTGTGGTTGAGGTTCTAGCCACGGGGTTGTGGTTGAGGTTCCAGCCACGGGGTTGTGGTTGAGGTTCCAGCCACGGGGTTGTGGTTGAGGTTCTAGCCACGGTGTTGTGGTTGAGGTTCTAGCCACGGGGTTGTGGTTGAGGTTCCAGCCACGGGGTTGTGGTTGAGGTTCTAGCCACGGGGTTGTGGTTGAGGTTCCAGCTACGGGGTTGTAGTTGAGGTTCTAGCCACGGGGTTGTGGTTAAGGTTCTAGCCACGGGGTTGTGATTGAGGTTCTAGCCACGGGGTTGTGGTTGAGGTTCCAGCCACGGGGTTGTGGTTGAGGTTCCAGCCACAGGGTTGTGGTTGAGGTTCCAGCCACAGGGTTGTGGTTGAGGCTCCAGCCACGGGGTTGTGGTTGAGGTTCCAGCCACGGGGATGTGGTTGAGGTTCCAGCCACGGGGTTGTGGTTGAGGTTCCAGCCACGGGGTTGTGGTTGAGATTCCAGCCACGGGGTTGTGGTTGAGGTTCCATCCACGGGGTTGTGGTTGAGGTTCTAGTCACGGTGTTGTGGTTGAGGTTCTAGCCACGGGGTTGTGGTTGAGGTTCCAGCCACGGGGTTGTGGTTGAGGTTCCAGCCACGGGGTTGTGGTTGAGGTTCTAGCCACGGTGTTGTGGTTGAGGTTCTAGCCACGGGGTTGTGGTTGAGGTTCCAGCCACGGGGTTGTGGTTGAGGTTCTAGCCACGGGGTTGTGGTTGAGGTTCCAGCTACGGGGTTGTAGTTGAGGTTCTAGCCACGGGGTTGTGGTTAAGGTTCTAGCCACGGGTTGTGATTGAGGTTCTAGCCACGGGGTTGTGGTTGAGGTTCCAGCCACGGGGTTGTGGTTGAGGTTCCAGCCACGGGGTTGTGGTTGAGGTTCTAGCCATGGGGTTGAGGTTGAGGCTCCAGCCACGGGGTTGTGGTTGAGGTTCCAGCCACGGGGGTGTGGTTTAGGTTCCAGCCACGGGGTTGTGGTTGAGGTTCCAGCCACGGGGTTGTGGTTGAGGTTCTAGTCACGGTGTTGTGGTTGAGGTTCTAGCCACGGGGTTGTGGTTGAGGTTCCAGCCACGGGGTTGTGGTTGAGGTTCCAGCCACGGGGTTGTGGTTGAGGTTCTAGCCACGGTGTTGTGGTTGAGGTTCTAGCCACGGGGTTGTGGTTGAGGTTCCAGCCACGGGGTTGTGGTTGAGGTTCTAGCCACGGGGTTGTGGTTGAGGTTCCAGCTACGGGGTTGTAGTTGAGGTTCTAGCCACGGGGTTGTGGTTAAGGTTCTAGCCACGGGGTTGTGATTGAGGTTCTAGCCACGGGGTTGTGGTTGAGGTTCCAGCCACGGGGTTGTGGTTGAGGTTCCAGCCACGGGGTTGTGGTTGAGGTTCTAGCCATGGGGTTGAGGTTGAGGCTCCAGCCACGGGGTTGTGGTTGAGGTTCCAGCCACGGGGGTGTGGTTTAGGTTCCAGCCACGGGGTTGTGGTTGAGGTTCCAGCCACGGGGTTGTGGTTGAGGTTCTAGCCACGGGGTTGTGGTTGAGGTTCCAGCCACGGGGTTGTGGTTGAGGTTCTATCTATGGGGTTGAGGTTGAGGCTCCAGCCACGGGGTTGTGGTTGAGGTTCCAGCCACGGGGTTGTGGTTGAGGTTCCAGCTACGGGGTTGTGGTTGAGGTTCCAGCCACGGGGTTGTGGTTGAGGTTCCAGCCACGGGGGTGTGGTTGAGGTTCCAGCCACAGGGTTGTGGTTGAGGTTCCAGCCACGGGGTTGTGGTTGAGGTTCCAGCCACGGGGGTGTGGTTGAGGTTCCAGCCACGGGGTTGTGATTGAGGTTCCAGCCACGGGGTTGTAGTTGAGGTTCCAGCCACGGGGTGGTTCTAGCCACGGGGTTGTGGTTGAGGTTCCAGCCACGGGGTTGTGGTTGAGGTTCCAGCCACGGGGTTGTGGTTGAGGTTCCAGCCACGGGGTTGAGGTTCTAGTGAGCGAATTGTGGGTTTTTATACCCATTTTTGATGAACTTATGTACACTCAAGCAGCATACACTCTGAATGCATCCACTGAATTCGTGCGTATTAAACCCGTGTTTTATGAGTTATGTCCTTGAACCCGTGTTAATTAAACATATAGCTAATGCATCGGTGTCAGAATGTAACTTACTTCTTTTCGGGAAGAGATTCTCCTTCGGTGGTCTTGCTACAGGCAGAGTCGTCTTCCTTGGGCTCGTGGATGCAGAACCAGGGTAGAGTCTCCTGCAGGGCCAAGCGGAACTTGGGGTGAGAGATGGCGTACATCATGGGGTTGTACACTGAGGCCGTCTTACAGATGAGACCAGGCAAGGCAGATACCAGCGGTGTCAGAAGAGTCTGGTCACCAAACATACCCTGAGGAATAGGTTATGTGAGTTTTATATATATATATATATATATATATATATATATATATATATATATATATATATATATATACCCTAGCTGGTACAACAGAATCTCTCCTAGAGGACATCAGAAAAATTAAAGACATGGGAGAAAGCCTGGGTCTATCTTTAAACCCCACCAAATGTGAAATAGTTTCTACCAATCAACAGATGATCCAGAATATTAGTGCCGTTTTACCAGGAGCACGAGCCATTGATCCAGCCAACAGCACTCTCCTTGGTGCTCCTCTTGGGTCCAATGCCATCAATCTGATCCTAGAAATAAAATCTCAGACCTCTGGACGATGGAAGGCAGGATGAAAGACATTGACACACGTGATGCCTTCTACCTACTCACCAGGTGCTTGTCAATCCCAAAACTTACCTACTTTCTGAGATGCTCCCCAGCCTTCAGCAGTCCAAAACTCAAGGAATATGACTCTCTCCTTAAGACCATGCTAGAGAGTGTATTGAATCTTTCCCTGGAAGATGGACAGTGGCTGCAAGCCTCACTTCCGGTCAGGCTTGGGGGGCTAGGAGTACGCAGATCCTCCCAGATTGCTCTACCAGCTTTCCTATCCTCTTCCATAGCATCAAACGAGTTAATAAGACAAATTCTTCCTGAAAACCTCAGTGACTCAGCAGGAATACAGGACCCCAACTATGCCAGTGCCATCACTGAATGGGAGACTCTTGCTGCTCCAGCACCAAACCCTAGTGCAGCACTGGCTCACAAACAGTCAAGCTGGGATGGCCCGATCGCTGAAAAGGTGCTTGCCAACATTCTCAGGGCTGTAACATCAGACAGGGAGACTGCCTATCTCCAGGCTGTGAGTGCACCTCACTCTGGGGACTTCCTCCAGACAGTTCCCATATCAGCAATGGGAACGCACCTCGACCCTAAGACCCTCTGTATTGCAGTGGCTCTGCGCCTTACTGCCCCAATTCACACAGAATATATGCGAATTTGCGGCGAAGTGCAAGCCATAACTGTTCCATACCAAGGGCTGGCATGCAAGACACAATGAGGTCAACGACAGCTGGATGCTCAGCTGAGAGGGAGCCCCGATCACTAGCAGTCAACAATATCCACAACCCAGCAAACCGCCCCGACTGGATCACCATCTGTCCTTGGAAGAATGGCAAGCTCTTAGCATGGGACTATACCTGTGTGTCCACACTGGCTGACACCTATATCCATCACAGTGTGCGGCAACAGGGAGGAGCTGCTGACCACAGGGAGGAGTACAGGATCAGCAAGTACAGGGACATAAGCCAACAGAATCAATTTGTCCCAGTAGGATCAGAGACCTTGGAATCATGGGGAAAAAATGTCACACGTTTCCTTAAAGAACTGGGTTCCAGACTCATCGATACCATCAGGGTCAAAAGGGCAGCCACTTTCATGTTCCAGCACCTCAGTGTGCCCATCCAAAGAGGAAATTCTTGCTGCATGCTTGGCTTGCCTCTGGCTTCGGAGGAGCTGGAGGAAATCCATAATCTTTAACATATTGCACCATTGTATTCACGTTTGTGTTTCCTGTAAATGTATTCTGTCTATTAATAATTTTTCCCATAGATTATAAAATATAGGGGGTGGTAAGAGAAGAAAATATTCAAACATCTCTGGGGAGAACCTTGAGTTTTCTCGGAGGTACATTTATTGTCTTCTTTGAGGATGAGGGTCCCCAGTCCAGTTATAGAGGTAATATATATATATATATATATATATATATATATATATATATATATATATATATAATATATATATATATATATATATATATATATAATATATATATATATATATATAAATATACATATATATATATATATACATATATATACATATATATATATATATATATATATATATATATATATATATATATATATATATAAATATATATATATATATATATATATATATATATATATATATATATGTACACACTCCTCTGGGTTTTCTATTTTCGTACTAGTTCTTGTTCTTGTTTATTTTATGTTCTCTCCATGGGGAAGTGGAACAGAATTCTTCCTCCGTAAGCCATGCGTGTTGTAAGAGGCGACTAAAATGCTGGGAGCAAGGGGCTAGTAACCCCTTCTCCTGTATATATTACTAAATGTAAAAGGAGAAGTTTTCTTTTTCCCTTTTGGGTCACCCCGCCTCGGTGGGATGCGGCCGGTGTATTGAAAGAAAGATATATGTATATATATATATATATATATATATATATATATATATGGTGGATGAATTTGGTAGGGTGTGCAAAAGAAGAAAATTAAAGGTGAATACAGGAAAGAGTAAGGTTATGAGGATAACAAAAAGATTAGGTGATGAAAGATTGAATATCAGATTGGAGGGAGAGAGTATGGAGGAGGTGAACGTATTCAGATATTTGGGAGTGGACGTGTCAGCGGATGGGTCTATGAAAGATGAGGTGAATCATAGAATTGATGAGGGAAAAAGAGTGAGTGGTGCACTTAGGAGTCTGTGGAGACAAAGAACTTTGTCCTTGGAGGCAAAGAGGGGAATGTATGAGAGTATAGTTTTACCAACGCTCTTATATGGGTGTGAAGCGTGGGTGATGAATGTTGCAGCGAGGAGAAGGCTGGAGGCAGTGGAGATGTCATGTCTGAGGGCAATGTGTGGTGTGAATATAATGCAGAGAATTCGTAGTTTGGAAGTTAGGAGGAGGTGCGGGATTACCAAAACTGTTGTCCAGAGGGCTGAGGAAGGGTTGTTGAGGTGGTTCGGACATGTAGAGAGAATGGAGCGAAACAGAATGACTTCAAGAGTGTATCAGTCTGTAGTGGAAGGAAGGCGGGGTAGGGTCGGCCTAGGAAGGGTTGGAGGGAGGGGTAAAGGAGGTTTTGTGTGCGAGGGGCTTGGACTTCCAGCAGGCATGCGTGAGCGTGTTTGATAGGAGTGAATGGAGACAAATGGTTTTTAATACTTGACGTGCTGTTGGAGTGTGAGCAAAGTAACATTTATGAAGGGATTCAGGGAAACCGGCAGGCCGGACTTGAGTCCTGGAGATGGAAGTACAGTGCCTGCACTCTGAAGGAGGGGTGTTAATGTTGCAGTTTAAAAACTGTAGTGTAAAGCACCCTTCTGGCAAGACAGTGATGGAGTGAATGATGGTGAAAGTTTTTCTTTTTCGGGCCACCCTGCCTTGGTGGGAATCGGCCGGTGTGATAATAAAAAAATAAAATATATATATATATATATATATATATATATATATATATATATATATATATATCCAACAAGTCGGCCGTCTGCCACCGAGGCAGGGTAACTCAAAAAGAAAGAAAATCTCCAAATGGAAAATACTTTCTTCATCAATGAACACTTTCGCCTCGCTCACACATGATCACTGTTTTTGCAGAGGCGCCCAGATAAAACAGTTTAGAAGTATATTTAAAGATATATAGCATATCCCTCCAAACTGCTAATATCCCAAACCTGTCCTTTAAAGTGCAGGCATTGTACTTCCCACTTCCAGGACTCAAGTCAGGCTACATAAAAATAACCGGTTTCCCTGAATCTCTTCACTAAATATTACCCTGCTCACACTCCAACAGCTCGTCAGGTCCCAAAAACCATTTGTCTCCATTCACTCCTATTTAACACACTCACATATGCTTGCTGGAAGTCCGAGCCTTTCGCCTTCCAACCTTTTCGAGGACGACCCCTACCCCTCCTTCCGTACCCTACAGATTTATACGCTCTCCAAGCCATTCTATTTTGATTTTTTTCTCTCTAAATGACCAAACCACCTCAACAACCCCTTTTCAGCCCTCTGACTAATGTTTTTATTAACTCCACACCTTCTCCTAATTTCCACACTCCTAATTCCCTGCATAATATTTACACCACACATTGCCCTTAGACAGGACATCTCCACTGCCTCCAACCGTCTCCTCGCTGCTGCATTTGCAACCCAAGTTTCACACCCATATAAGAGTGTTGGCACCACTATACTTTCGTACATTCCCTTCTGTGCCTCCATGGATAACATTTTTTGTCTCCACATATACCTCAACGCACCACTCACCTTTTTTCCTTCATCAGTTCTATGGTTAACCTCAACCTCATAAACCCAACTGCTGACAAGTCAACTCCCAAATATCTGAAAACATTCACTTCTTCCATACTCCCTCTCTCCAATGAGACATCCATTTTTTCTTTATCTAAATCATTTGATACCCTCATCACCTTACTCCTTTCTATGTTCACTTTCAATTTTCTACCTTTACACACTCTCCCAAACTCGTCCACTAACGTTTGCAACTTTTCTTTAGAATCTCCCACAAGCACAGTATCATCAGCAAAAAGTAACTGTGTCAACTCTCATTTTGCATTTGATTTCCCATAATTTAATCCCACCCCTCTCCCCAACACCCTAGCATTTACTTCCTTTACAACCCCATCTATAAATATATTAAACAACCATGGTGAAATTACACATCCCTGTCTAAGACCTACTTTTACCGGGAAGTAGTCTCCCTCTCTTCTACACACCCTAACCTGAGCCTCACTATCCTCATAAAAGCTCTTTACAGCATTTAGTAACTTGCTATCTATTCCATATACTTGCAACATCTGCCACATTGCTCCTCTACCCACTCTATCATATGCCTTTTCTAAATCCATAAATGCAATAAAAACTTCCCTACCTTTATCTAAATACTGTTCACATATATGCTTCAATGTAAACACTTGATCTACACATCCCCTACCCACTCTGAAACCTCCTTGCTCATCCGCAGTCCTACGTTCTGTCTTACCTCTAATTCTTTCAATAATAACCCTACCGTACACTTTTCCTGGTATACTCAGTAAACTTATTCCTCTATAATTTTTACAATCTCTTCTGTCCCCTTTCCCTTTATATAAAGAAACTATACATGCTCTCTGCCAATCCTTAGGTACCTTCCCCTCTTTCATACATTTATTAAA